ATTTACTATATGGTTCATAGTTTTGAGTTGCATGGCCACAATCGCACTACTGTGGCTAGTGTCTTGAATTTCAATGTGGAAGGATATGTGCACATCGGCCTATTGATGTTCTGATGTGGTTGATGGTTCTGTTCCCAATGATCTGAGTGAACAAATTGTACATTTGTGAAAATAAGCAAATAGGTCTGTAATTCTTCAAGTCAGTTTCATCATATTTTCATAGGAGATCGTTAGAGGTCTCATTTCCTGATTGACACACTGGGTAAATATTTAGTAAATAGGTCAACTTATTTTCAACCAACAATTGCTCTCAATTGTTTGATAAGATGTCCACGACGGTCATACCTTCTGATTCAGCTGTCCTTTTTAATCCTGACTTAAAAGCTGTCGTGACTGCAGGAATTCATATTCTTTGGGTCTTTCGGTAAAGTCAAGTAGATAGGTTCAAAGAAAAGGACAAATACTACGACGTTTCGATCACAACACAAGCGATTGTCATCAGGAGGGGAAAAAAAGGAACGTTGTAGTTTTGTTATTTTCTTTTTTATTCTGTTAAGGAGTATTTATTTCTGTAAGCGTGACATTTTGAAATTGTTCCCCTCTTGAGTTGTCATGCCTCACCCAACGTATGAACACAAATAAAGAATGCCTAATATCCAAACTGAGAACAACTTTATGCTAAAACTGAAAAATGTATGAAATTTACAGTATTTCCTTCTAAACATTTTAGAGAATACAATTTTGGGGAATTACTTTGGAGACAGTGTGTGCATGTCACTTTAAAAAACGGCGCTAATCCACCAACTACATTACGCCGCCGCATAAACCGCCAGAAAGTTATCTCTTAAAGTGAAAAAATCCTATAAAACTTAGTCCAATGGGATTTTATGCCATTAAATCCCACGGCACCAATGTTCTGCTTACTGCCATCATCAAGGCCATCTTAAACAAACAAATTCCTTCGCATTCTTCATTTTCAGAGTGGTGCATTATGGGCTCATGCAAGCAAAGCCGTGGCTCGATATCCGATATTCCCACGTAATCCCACGTTATTTTCTCTACTGGCCAGAAACAAAGCTTAGCCCCTACATATCTGTGCTAAAATGCCACCCAACGAGCGAAACCGGCTCACACTTGGGCGTTAGTGCCACTTCGGTAGTTCGACGAGTCGGGGAGGACGGACTGCTGCGTCTCCTCCCATTGGACTCTCGGTGACTTGGGACGCCGGGCGCGGACACTCAAACCCCGCCGCTCGAGCGAGGGCATTGTCTGCCCTCCCGGACGACAGCGTGAGGGGCATGAGATGCAGACGCATACACACCTGGCAGCTGATGTAAATAGCGAGCCTACAAGTACAAACAAAAGTCTACTTTCACGTCGTGTTATTTCTTGGGGCATGGGAAATTCTCCATAGGAGGTACAACTGTCTTTGCAGCTACCATTCACAAACATTTCATGGCCTTTTTCAAAAAAACCATCGGTGGCAGCAAGCTGTTACGCATCAATGCTCGTAAACTTGAAGCGTCTTGCTTGTGCCAATTTGAGCAAAAATGGTTAATTGAATTGGAGCAAACGAAACACTGCAGACGGAAATTAAACTCACGTTACCTTTCCATTGTAAAACGCACCTCATGTTGGAGGGGAAGAGGTCAGAAGGTGAGAGTTTAAAGCTTTAGCATTGGCCGCTATATTAAGAATATTTTTCACGCGTGACTGTGCTTTTGGCGTATGTCTGAAAGAGTGCCGGCAGCAATTGTGCGTCGCGCTGACGCCACCAGAAAGAGGAGCGTCTGCGCGGCGGATTGTTGTTGTGCAGCGATGTGCACCGCCGTGAATGGAGAGGTTGGCCCCAGCCGGGGGTAGGGATTTAGGTGATTGGCGGGGTAAATGGCCAGCCGAGCCCGGTGCCAGGAAGCGACGTTTGGCTTCTCTGGGGCAAGGAACTACTTTTGGCTTGACCTCACTTACAAAGTACTTTTTTTTTTACATTGTGCAGTTGTGTCTGCAATGCATTGTGTGGTGGGAGTTGAGTTTTTTATATTTGCTCCACGGTCGGTCCATCATACCGCAGTATGTACATTTTTTGACCGAACACAATGGCTTACCTGTAAAAGTGGGATTTAGACATGGGGCCGTGGTTACGGAGAATGGAATTGTTCTCGCATCCTAGCCGCGCGATCTGATCACGCCGCGGATATGCAGCGTGGCGTCGCGGGCATCAAACACGGGCGGGCACAAATTGTGTCCGATGAAAGGCGTGAGAGTCCAAACAATGCAGAGAAGAAACTACACATTCTTTCAAAATCAACAATACCCGAAAAAATATGTTTGTAAAAAATGTAAAATGCCTCCTTATTATTAGTGTACACTATCATTATTGATACAGGAAGGTATGGCGCCAATATTACATTTACTGCTATTATATTCACGGAGGGATTATTCGCGCGGCGTCTAACAAGTGACTGACGCAAGTCAAACGCCCGGCAGTTGGAGTTGTTCTCAGGGACAACAACAACCGCCATTGGCCACTTGTGCCAGGCTATGTGCACTTTAAGGCCACGTGAAGCGTCGAACGCTCGTGAGCAGGTCACGGAACAGACCCGGGTACCTCGGGTTGACCGAGATGACCGCAGATGCACCCCCTGTGCCCCCTACTGTGCCAACAGTGCCCCCCTACTCTCAGAGAAACAGCCGTGAACACGCACACACAAATTGTTTTATTTATCACGCGTATTGTGCACATACTGCAGTCACTAGGCATCACGGGGGGGGGGGGGGTCACGATTGGCATGTTGGTCCCACGATAACACGCACAAACCTATAGCCTTGCGATGACCCCCCCCCATCCCCATTAGACAATTCCCACCGTGCGCCAAACTGCCCCCCACCCCCCCGAAAAAAAACACCAGGTAACCCTAACACACAAACGCAACCTGGCGCTGCACTTTGCATGACCCTTAACTTCGGATGGGGAGTGCAGGGCCTGCCTCCCCAACCACACTGTGACCAATAGCGCAGCGGCATTTTACAATTCGGCGACCGCCGCTCCCCGTGTCAACTCATGAACCCATTGGCAGCGGCGAGGGGTTGGGAAAGGGGTGGCTTTGTATACAGCGCTCGTCACGTCAAAATAATTGCCGGCTCTTTAATAATGTGGCCTGTGTTAAGCGTATGGGGCTGTTGATAACTTCCTGTGATAGGCAGCCACCGTAGAATGTTTTTGATCAGGTAATTCATTCAATCTGAATATATAACGCAAAGTGGCATTCTAATTGATGGGCCGTAATATTGTTTTATAAAATAGAAAGACCAAGCCTACTTGCGCACACGATTGGGTTTATATCTCCAAAGCCAACCTTTTTTTTGTTTTACAAAATTCAGACTAATGCCTAACTTTGAATGGAAATATTAAGTCATAGAAAATGAAATATACTCAAGGCATAAATAAACAATGTTGTGCAAATGTTGATAAAGAAAGCAGGTGGATATTTACTTATTTATTTAAGATAATACTTATTAAAAATAAATTTCTCTTCAACATAAAATATGCCACGCATCATTATACAGAGAACATGTCATTTTCAAAGGCCTGTAGCACACCAATAAGAAAATTCAACCTTTCAGCAAATCAATATGTGGCCTGTGTTTCCACACCAGAACAGCCGAAAAGGTTATTACAAGTTATTAATGTCACCTTCCTGTCTCTCTCATATTTATTTCAGACATTTGGTGTCCACGGGTCATTTTACCACATCATATACCTCAAACACACAGTGCAGGGATCCCAGGCAGCAAATAAAGCAATCAGCCAAAACAGAAGTGACATTAATGTGTAGCGTGGTGCCGCTCCCTTTCGCAGACAGCCCATTCAGCGGTGGCCACCGGGCTTTAATTACTGTACAACGATATTTCATTACGCCACCGGATCCCTGCATCAATATTGACATCTGTAGGGGCAGGCAGGAAAATCTCTTCTCTGTGCATAGGAAATACTTAACTGAGCCAATTTCACGAACGTCAATCAAATGCGGGACGCGCTGCCTCCAACACAATCGATTTAATTCTACTTTACTCACGCCTAAACCCTTCCTTTCCTGCCTCGCTTCCCCCTGCAATTGCATCAGTGTATTTGTTAAGAAAAAAAAAAATATTACCAAGAGGAATCAAGGAGGGTGGAATAAAAATATATCTATCTTTACCTCCCCTAAATATAATCGACAACGGACGGCAATTGTAGGGGGCTGCGCGCAGAAAAAAAAAACGCCGATTTGCACGCCAAACAAAAAGTGGAGACATTTGATCCAACCCCACGATGACATCTGTAGTTTACATGAATAAACGACAAGTTATTGTTGCGACAATACCAAACAAAAAAGTGGCAGATAAATTGTTACCAAAGCCACCCCCCCCCCGAGGATTTAGCTGCGACGCTACTGCCTGCCATTGACCATTTTTTATGACGCGTCGGCAATTTCTCCTGTTATCCTGTAAGGGGAGCTTTTAGGCTTCGTTTTTATCAATACTTCATTTCGCGGAGAAATAAAAATATATCTCTTTAAAAATCGCACACCCATTTCGCACACATTTGGCCAATTCCAGGAGAGCCCCGGGGATAAGGCGGCTGATTGAAGGCAATTGCTAAGACGCTCGTGATGCGATGATCAGAACAATGTAGACGGCGGGAGTCCAGACGTTGAAAGAGATGGCAGCGATGGGGGGAACAAAAAAATTATGCATCTGCAAATATCAACTTTTACTCCTTACCTCTTTCGCAAATTTGGAAAATGAAAAAAAACAACCAGAGCAGTGTCGATTTAAAGCTTTCGTGACTGCAAGGATTCATCTTCTTCTTTCGGTAAAGTCACGTAGAATGAGAATAAAATAATAAAATAAGACAATAAAATTCTCACTGAGAATTTTATTCTCATTCTACGTGACTTTACCGAAAGAACCAAAGAAGGCAGAGCAGTGTCCTCTCAGTTTGTGCGGGAGTCGCGTACCTATGAGTCCATACGACAGAAACTTGTTGACGGAGGAGAGGGAAAGGCCGGTGATGGGGCCCGTTGTATCCTCTGAGCGAATCACCTCCAGAAACGGTCCCAGGAATACATTGGCTTCAACCTCCGAGAGCTCTGCGGCAAAAATGACAACAACAAAAATCACTTGTGGTGAGAATAGGTTTTTTTTTTCTATTACAGACGAAGTTAATTTCATAACAAAATACACACATGGCAACACAACGCAACTGTATCTACATAATAGAAAAAAACATCGCATTAGTCATTAATATGTGGCCAGATAGGAGCTCATGAATATTCTTTAATACATGTTACAATGCATTGTTTCACGAATACATATTCTTATGAGCACAGTATATGCATGATTCATGCATTTAAGAAACATTTAGTTTAAAGTCATGTGTTGTGTATATAATTGGGTCACATGACCCCTGCAGACACGACAAACACCATTCACTCATTATGAGTCATGGTCAATCAACTGCTGGATGAAGGCCTCCCCAAGCCACCACCATCTCTTACAATCCTAAATAGTCACTACGATAAAAAAAAATTGTCTAGAGTCGAATCATGACCACAGAGTGTGGTGATTAATAAAATCAATAAGTCGGGGGTGATCGGTGCGGATGGGCAGCGAATGGCCACATGCCGACAGGTAAGTGTTTGTGTTTGTCGAGTTAGCCACAGATATAATATTTGCACGCAGCACAGGAGATGCCAGTGGCCCCCAGCTACATCCTCTGTGAAATGATGGCAGAAGTTGCTATATAACGCAGACTACTTTGTTACCCCACACCAAATCCATAAGAGGTTTTTAGGGTTAGATCACGTAAATATAAATGTGTCATTAAGCCCGCCACCACCCGATACAGCCAATTGATAAGGTTTGTCACATAAAACAGAACGTGCAAATTCGTTACTCGTCCAGCACACCGGTGTGTTGGAGAATAAACCCACAACATTGACAATTCGAGTTCGACGTTTCGCCAGTAATTACAAGCAGCCTCATCAGGCCGGTTCTAACAAACACCTAATACAAGCACGGTGAACTTAATATCCAAGTTCCGAGTGCCCCTTGGTTACGTGGACCCAGCAGAGGGGAAACTGTCGCAGTAGAGAGGATGGCCTCCTTAAAAGTCATCTGTAACATAGCCTCACTTGAAGAATCCCAAATAAATTATCAGGAAATATCATGAAGAGAATTTTTTTTTCAATTACTGAAACATTTCGGAGCCTGATGGATGCAAATAATATGCGAATAAAAGTGTGTTGACAAAGAGCTGCCAAAACAGATGCTTGAGGGTCTCTGAAAAGCCATACAGGCAATAGGTGGCTTAAATTAAATCGCCCGCCTCTATCTGCAAGCACATTACTTAATTGTCCTCCCAACGACAATGACACGCCACGTGTCGCTAAGGCCTCCTACAGATCCGCGTTTATTTAGTTAAGGTATTTATTTAACGCAGAGGCAACAATAAATTCGCATCTCCGAACGTATCAACGCGGAGTAAAAAAAGCGCCTATCGCTTTTGTCCACATCCATAATGAGACGTCTGCACAAATAATTGAACAATCTTTAAAACTGATTAGGACAGGTCCCGCCGGGCTCGCCAAATGTTCATCACTTAACCCCCGGGCCACCGTTTGGACACCTCCGGGCGGCCAAGGGACAGGCATCTGCTGTCGCAGCGCAAAGCCATTACAGCGACTGGCCCACAGGAGCCATCCGTATTGCCACTAACCGGTTGCCCTGACAGCTCCTGATGGGGCTCGCGAGGGATGCCCACGTGCCGCCTTTAAGCAGGTCAACCTAATTACCGGCAATGTGCTATCCCGGCCACATTAGGACACGTGTAAGTGCTGATACCGAACTTAATTGGTGGTAGCCTTATTTATTTGTTTGTTTTCACCTACATCAACATCCAGTGTCGTATTTCTACAGTCAACGCTCTGATGTTTAACGTTGACGAGCCGGGTGACTAACGAACGTGACGAACGCCAGAAAAAGACCTGGCTTCAAGAGCACAGTCGTCATTGCACCACAAATAACACGCGGCTTTGACATAAAGAGAAATAGAAAGATACATTTCCTTTATAGCCAGGTGAAAACCCAATGGGGAAGTCCATGCTGATTTAGTGGTAAGCAGTGAGCTGTGAACCGGAAAACCTGAGTTTGATTCCAAGCCATGTCTAACATCATGGAGGTAGGGTAGCATGAAGGAAATACTTGTGCTTCAAAGCAAGAAGGGCCTGGGTTTAATTTCTGACTCAAGCACTCTTTTGCTTGGAGTTTGCATGTCCTCCCATTGATCTGCATGGGTTTCCTCCAGGTACTACAAATTTCTCACATGGCTAAAAACATGCAACTGGTATCGGTCAAACATCTCAATGCTTAAAACTACCTGCAAATTACACAATTGGAATTATTTAACGTAACCTCGGCCCTCCTACTGTGAAAATTTTGCAGGACCATCCGGGAAAAAAACAACTCGAGACTGGGTGAAGTTCTCCTGGGTAAACAAGCAAAATAAATAACATCAGTGGTGAGCAGACATCCAAACCCGGTGCTGCTGGGCCTCATCCTCACCAACCCACACCAACAAACGTTGTGACGTATGGTCTGACCGTCGCCATGACCCACGTTAGATGGAGAGAGGCCTTCATCCCACGGAGGACTGACAAACAGCTGAAAATTATTTATTATTAAGAAGCAAATGAGTATAAGAGGTATCTATTACAAAGGAGAACATCTACTTCCCATTTAAGCAATGCTGTGGTTTTGCCGAGCAAACACCTCTTGGTAAACGACAAGAGTGACCAGTCTTCGTTTCTGCTTATATCTATACTACTACTATACTATTTGTATTTTCCGAGTTAAGACCAGCTGAGCTATTTTGCTCGAAGTCAGAAGCGACCTGGCCACAGATGATAGCTCAATCAAGTGGCTTATCACGTGGACATTTATAGCAGCCAAATACTCCAAACGCACGTTTTTAAATGTGGAGGGAAAAACTGGAGGACACGAAGAAAAATCCACAAGACCACGGGGAGAACATGCAAACTCCAAATATATAGGCGTCAGGGTCAGGATCGAACCCACGACCTCCTCCATACCAGGGTGAGGTAGTTAACATGTCGCCACCGTGGTGTTATGTGGGAAGCACGGCGGTCAGCGAGGTGACATTGCACCACTGACCACGCTGCAGATATTGATGCACTATAAAACACGAATCTCTGCCACTGTCCTAGTATTTAAGAGTGAAAAGCTTTGAATTCTTAGAAAAATAAATCAAGCCACTAAATTTTTCTGCTTTTGATTTAACAAAAAACCCCAAAGTTTCAGTACATTTTTCTGGTGTCAAATTAAATGCACTATGAAAGGGTGAATTTTGTTGATTTGAAAGGTGTTGTTGGCGACTCTTTACAAACCGAGTTTCAAAATCCCATCACAAAAAGCATCACAACCCTGACGCCGCTGTGCACAGAGAAGCAACAACAATGTTACGATGCAATACTGAAAAGCGGTTACGGGATTAAAAAAAAGATGAAATAAAAAAAATATTCTGCAGTGATTACAGCTGACCCAAAAGAGAAAAATATTTTTAAAATAATTTATTTTATAAGAGAGGCAGTCAAGCACCGCGGCGGTTATGGGTTCGAGCTCGCATTGTGCCACCTGAACCTAAAGAGATATTGATCAGATCAGGTCTCAGTTCAGTTCACACGCAATACAGGAGCAGGGGCAGTGGGATGATCATTTCAAAGTAATAAAGAGGGTTCTGAGAGGTCTTCATTCCGGGACCCGGGCCAGGTCCCAGAGGTGGCCCCGAGCTTGGCCTCTCTCACCGGCTAAAGCGCTATATCAACAACCCTTCAATCCGATTTTTACCCCCAAAAACTCCACAACTCGTGCTTCTGAATGGTTATTGCTTTGGGTGTTTAATAAATTGGAGGCAAAAAAAAAGGCAGCTTGCAAAAGTGGGAAAAAAAAACATCCACCGGTGGATGTTACTTTTGGTCGTGAAGCTATAATAGCGAAAGAGAGAGCGAGTGTTAAGATCCACCAGGTTTATTTGACGAAACAGTGAGCGGAGGGAGGACATTGCAGAGAATCACTTTGCTTTGTGAACTTTTGACTGCAAAAAAAGTTCCTTGACCGAATGCAAATAGGGTAAATATGCCGAAGGTGCGTGAAAATTGTGAGCAACTCGGTCAGTAAAAACCGAGCGAAAGGCTCAAGACGGACACAGCAGCGGTGGGCATCCCCTGTGTCACGTTCCGACAATAACGACGCGGGGGAAGAACAGCGGAGCGCACTGCTTAAACCGCCATGCGAGCGCATTACACCAAACTCAACAGAAAGCAGGAATAAATCTCTTTATAGCCAATACAAACCACCACGGCTCGAAAACTTTGTCTGTAGGGATAAAGTATGCTTTACTTAAGTTATGTTTCTGCAACATTAATCAACAGGGATAGGCATTCGAGATTTGCATGGATCAAACGCCACTGCAAAAATCCCCGGCGGTAATCACCGGGGCATTACAGGCTTTGCTTCTCTAGAATTATTGGGTTGTTAGGTATTCCACAGAACTTGCAATGATTATGACCATTCACCTACCCATGAGCTGTATTAGTCCAGGTTAATCTTGCCTGGCAGTCTTCCAAATATAGAGGGTTAAAAAAAATACTTTAATAGTACGGTGACTAACATTTGCTCGGACAACATCTTGAGAGCTTACCATATGTATGAAAAAAATACAAAAGTTATTTATCCATGGTGATCCATGTCCCAAAGAAATTTAACAAAACAATATATACGTTAAAAAAATATGCGAATTTTTTTTTATCATATGACTGCGTTTTGCAATAAATATTTTAGCAATTTTTTCTTCTTCCCAGAATATTATCTGTTCTAGGTAATTCTTATTATATTGTAAAACTTGGAAAAATGCTATCTAAATTGTATACACTATCATTCTTCTGCAGCACACACACGAATGTCTCGCAAGAATAAAACAATTAAATATGAAATACAGAAAAAATCTGAGATTCTCATGATGCTGCTGCTTACACTGGCATTTTTCAGATATTAAACAAGGCAAGCGGTGTAT